TGGTTTTATATTGTTTGTCCCCCAAAGGTTCATGCGTTGAAAGTGTGGTCCAACACATGTGGTAGCATTAAGCCTCAAAATCTATTTTAACCTATTTTTAATGAAGCCATAGGGATAAGCTATGTGGCTCATCCATGATCACAAAGTTTACTTACTAAGTGGCAGGGCTGGAGCTAGTACCCAGGTGCCTCTGACTCAAAATCCAATGTTCTTTCCACTACAACTTGTTTTTGATATACTGAGTACTTGCTCTTGAGCCTTTCAGGGAATGAAATACAATCAACGTTAGTAGTAGTAACAATACATAGTGCAGCAGAGTTATGGAAGCAGCTGAGGGTTGTAGAGTACAAAGAAGTGTGGAAAGTACCAAATGATATCACTTCCAGGAAAGTCCATATGTGAAATCAACATAGAACATGGGAAAAAGTGGGATTCCCCACAGCAAGTCATCTAATAATACAGTTGACTTCATGGACATTTTACCAGGGGCATGTGCATTTGGACACGTGTAGCCACAACATGCATCTGACTGCAACAGAACTGGTCTCCTTTTCCCCTATTTGCTTCTGGGCTTGTGAGAGCAAAATCCTAGTCTGTGCCCTGAAAAAACCTTTAAGGATTTCTTTCCATTTCATTAGCTTATCTGGTGGGTTGTCAGCAGTGAATGGAAATAAAAATCTGTTATGCATGTGACAGAGTTTATTTTAATTCTACTACTGCATCTGAGGGAAACAGATTTGATAATAACTGTAGCCCCACCCTGGGATGATGGAGAAAAGGAAAGTGGAGGCAAGAGCAGACAGTTGGCAGTGTGTTCGGTTAGTGATCAGTTTGTAAAACAAGTATTTTCATCACTGCTGATAGCAGCTGGCTTCTTAGAGAATAGGTCCACAAGAATGGCTGGGACCTCTGGTCTGTCCACAGACCGGCTGAGTGTCTGACATGACAGGCCCTGGGCCCAGGTACCTCCATCCCACCCATCTCTGACACACACAGATGTAGAACAAAGAAGTGCTTGCAGGTGGGGTGGTGTGAGCGGGCCCAGAGAATGCACACTCACAGAAAGAGTAGGCTAAAGGGAGCCCAAATGGTCAGCTGGGGTACAATTACAAAGGTAGTAATTTCTCTCTGAACAAAACTCTGGGGATCTCCGCATCCTATAGGGTCTGGAAGGCCTTGGAGAAGTGGACGAGAAGAACAGCAGCAGCTTCGTCACCATAGTAGGCAGCCTGAAGCTGACAAGAGGGATGCCATAGTCATTCTGGAATGAAACCATCAGGGACCAGATGAGAGGTCAGATCAGGTAGGGGTGAGGAATATCTCTAATTACAAACGATAAGTTCATTAATTAATGCATGTGGAGGTGATGTTTAAATGAAGAAACCTAATTTTAACTCCGATAAAGTGATTAGAACGTGGGGGAAAGGGATAGGAAGTTGAAAAAAGGGAAGATGCGGGGGAACCTACTCTTTTCATTAAAAAAATCAGAGACATTATTAAGCTAATAAAAATTTTTAAAAGTATTTCTAACATAGAAATCATAACACAGAGACAGACAGATGCACATAGAAGAGATCACTGGGGACACCTGTCAGCTGGTCACTCCTGCAAGGCTTGGAATAAGCCACATTTCTGTTTGGACCTGCCCCCACCCCCCTTAAACAATAGGCTTGTCCCCTTGGGGGTCTTGGTTTGGTTTCTACTGTATAAGAACTGAAGTGCTCTCAGTGCTGCTGAAACTGCTGGAATACTAAAATTGTCTCTTGCAGCCTAAATGGCATTTAAAATAAATACTATGAGTTGATGAAATGACCAATTATGTTAAGTACCCCTGCCTGCTGTAATCCAAACCAAATCTTACCCCATTATCCTCAAAACTGAGAGGTGATTCCGCACCCTCTCTGGCCTCTGATTCTGAACCAAAGTACAGACGCCACACTTGACATCCAAGGAGGACCTCAAGTACTTCCAGTTAATTCTTACAATTGGTTTTGCACTGGAAAAAAATAACTGTCCTATGTGTCTACTCAATGCTTTACAAACCAAACAACTATTAGACCACATAAACTGGTTTCCCGTTGTTACTGTGTCATTTTAGTTTCAACGTCATTTCAGGTTTTCACTTCCATTACTTCCCCCTAGGACAGTGATGGCAGACCTTTCAGAGTTTTTAAGGATATAAACAGCCCTGCTGCAGCATGCGTGCCATAGTTTCACCACCACTTCCCTAGAATATCACATTATAGGTAGTGCCTGACATAATTTTCAACTTGATAACAGTACAAAAGCCATATGCATTCTGAACAAACTGTCCTTCAACTTTTGATCTTTTCCTAGACTAGTGACGAGAGGTACAGTCCTCTCTTGTGAGGCCACAGCTGCTGGTTGGTCACAGGATCACAAGGGGAAATCCCCAACACTGCAGTGTGCTGTGTTGCTAAGATACAACATGCAGTGGATCAGGTGTGTTAAACGCACTTTCAGCCTATGATATTTTACATAGCTCACAATGGGTTTACCTGGATGTAACCGTGTCATAGGTCAAGGAGCACTCATATTGTTCCGAAAAGTAACTTGGGGCAGCTGTTCCACACATCCGCCACCAAGTCCCTATCACTGTGCTCTGTGATGTCATTTTCCCCATTCCAGACACGTGCATCTGTTTTCCAAGGCTTTGCTCAAGTGTCAATTCCCCAAGAAGTGGCAGCCCCTCTGCTCACCCTGACAAAACAAAGCTCTTTCTTCTGTACAACATGGCACATCTGCCTATCTTTCTATCCCACATCTTCATACTCTGGGTCCCTGGGGCAACTGCACACAGTAGGCCCTTTCTTTGGCATTCCAGTCCTATCTAGGCCTCAACCTCAATCTTTCTGACTGTACCCCATTAACAAATGGGGTCTGATTATCTAAAAAAATTCCTCCTACTTGCTAGAGGGACAAAAAATAAAAGCGTATTTGAGTATAAAGAGGAGAAAAATGAGCATGTATCAAGTATGTTTCCTTCTATTTGACTGTAATCTAAACCACCTATTTGGTTTAGATTATCTGGTGTGACTGGGCAGTTCCCTTCTTTGTACATCCACATCTTTATTTGCACAACTTTTGCTCATGGGCATTAACAACTTCTGGATGTCCCAGTAGCAACCGCCAAAGGAGGACAGCAATACTAATTAGGAAAACACACAGTTTGAAAAATCTTATCACAATAAAAATGTCTGAAGAACTCTAGACAGATCCAGGAAAATGATTAAACATCACAGGAAAAAATTAATACTGACAAGTTCCTGCCTACACTCTCAAACTCTCACCAAGATTTTGATTCTCAAATGTACCAAAAACAATACTGTACTTAAATGGACAGAAATCCAATGAGCATCTGAAATTTGTACTAGTTTAATTCTCACTACATAAGGAGATGGAGGAATTTTTTAATCAGTAAGAGAAAAAAGTCTACAATAATAGCATACAATCCCAACCTGCAATCACTCAACTTCAGAAACTTTATCAATGTTTCTCTCATGTTTTTACCCTCCAGAAACAAAAAAATTAATATGCATAGAGCAAATCTTACCCAATGTGGAACAAAATGAATAAAAATCCTACAAGAAAAAGCTCTAAGAAAACAAAATCCCTTTTCTTAAAATAATCCAAACATTAATGATATTTGTATTATTGCTACAGTTCTAGAGGAAAAATGAAGGTACAAATAACTTTGAAATTCACTTCAGAAAAATTCAAAGGATGATTATAATTGGTTTCTTACACAATCTGGAGAGCAGAATAGATTTTTTTAAATTATGTTTTAATTTTTGAGAGTGGAGGGGGTTCCTTTTATTTTATTAGAAATTTAGGATATCTATGGTGGCTATTACAATTAGGACTAACCAAACTTGTACGCCTACATTTCACCTAAATGCAAAGAAATTCTTAAGTTCCTGATTTCATGGACAATATGCAATTGCATGCGCTATAAAGCAACAACAAAAACAACTCTCACAATTGATTGACATACTCCAGAAACCTTAAGATAAATGTCTCTTTTCTTAGCTACTCTAATATTCCACTTCTTTACACACACAACTGGCCTCAGTGTGTACTTTTTAAAGGTCAGAGGCTAAACAGCTGTAAGCCAATGAAAAGGCACTAAACTCCCTCATTATAAGCCAGTGTAGTTGGAAAGTGCTTGGTACAAACAAATCCATCTGCTTTTGGCAGCTGTGCCGCCTTGACTCCTGGCCAATCAACAGAGGCGAAAGGGGACAGAAAACCGGAAGACACTGTAGGCCAGCTTATACACAGAGCACATATCTTAAACAGCCATCACTAAAAAGTAATTTGTGAAAGTTTTTGGAATGCATCTTTGTGCTATTTTTAAGCATTTATTCCTCCTTAACCATGTCCATTTCAAAAGTTACAGCAGTGAGGCATGGATGGCATGTGCCTATAATCCCAGCTACTCTGAAGGCTGGGCCACAGTGACCACTTGAGCACAGGAATTTAAGGGAGTCTGGGTAACACAGCAAGACCCCAACTCACACACACACAAAAAAAGGTAACAGCAAAAGCAGAGATGAAAGCCAGTTTGAATTTCTCAAGCACACCATCCCACAGCAACCTTCCAAGAACACATGGATATCCGAGGACAGCATGGAACCATTCCTTGTCAGCCCAAATACGTAAAAAGGTTTGCTTTTATCAGCCCACTGTACACTACTGTCACATGCCCGTTGTCACGTAATTCCAATTCCACCAAAGCAACTCAAACACTTTGGGAACATGACCACTGTCAATGGGCCAAAGAAGCAGTCCTTAGAGACCTGGTTTCAGACTCACAGTTCATAGCAACCAAGTAGGAAGAAATAAAAAGAAGTGGCCATCCAGACCAACCCACAACAGTCACACTTCTCCAGAGAGTAGTCACTCTCTGCTTGGCACCAAGCACAAGAGTGGGGAAGGGAGGGGAAGCAGAGGAGGAGGAGGTGCTCCTAGACACCTACCTTGCAGAAGGGCTCCATTTCTCTTGAAGAAGGTACTGCCCGGCCAGATGGGTGGACCTGATGTGCTGAAAGAGGAGACAGACAGACATAAGGCTGGCAAACTCATTTACACTGACTCAGCTGCACTCCTTCCCCAAACATCTCTCAAAATGGCCCGAAAACATTTTCCCAGTTATGCATTATTGATACCCTCTGAAAATGTTAACTTTATAAACCATGGAGTTTATCTTATTATACACAGGCTTCCAATTTCACACAGAACTGTCTATGTGAATGTTCTGGTTAGCATCTTGGCTCTGGTCAGACCTAGGCACTGAAATTCCCTGCAGGTAAACAAATGGCAAATGTGCATGGTTCAGTGGCTTTGCTGGGAACTCTCAGAATTTTTGCTAACCTGGTCATAATTTCATAAACATACGTCGAAAAGAACTCCTAGCCATGTCTTCTCAGATCAAGTAGGTTTTCTTGTGTTTCCCGGTACCACCTGCCTGTCACAAATAAGAACGTGGTTTTCTTGGCATCTCTACCACCAAATTCTTTCTATACAGATATGACCTTGATTGACTCCCTCCCACCCCCAGGCTCTTGTTTCGCATCCTGTTTTCAATTTCTTGGCTTAAAATGTTATACTCCATAACCTATAAAACACTTTGCAGAGAGATAGGTTACCACCCACAGTCAGGTAACAGGAGAGACAAGAAAATAAGAAAAATCAATTCATCACAAAGATTTAGAGATGAGCATTTTCACTGTTTTGAAACATCTAGTGGAAAACTTTACAACCAAACCAGTCTTAGTAAAATACCCTTACAGTAGAAAGTGGGTTATTCTAAATCAAGGATTTATCTTAGATTGATGTTACAAAACACTAGTTCAAAATGTTACTACATCCAGCCCAGGAGGCAGTATAAATTACTTCCACCAAAACAATACATGGCAAATGATATTGGTGAATGCATTAGTAGTCACATTCAACATTTAAAAAATAAAAATTTGGTCTGAGGAATACATGTGTAAGTCTGGTACACGCACATGTGCATGCACACACACACACAAACACACACACCTGAAGGCCTATGCATTCAAAGCTTCACTAGTTGGTGAAGATCTCTGGTTATGTAGGATAGCAATACTATTAGCAAGAAAGGGAAATGCAAGTAACAGTCTACTGTCAAAATATCATTATCAGAGGTACAAACAGTATCACAAGTACAAGGACAGTACATGAGTGAGGAGAAGTAGGGAGGGAAGAATAAAGGAGTTACAGCATAAAAATACTATTAAATGTCAAGAAAAAGTGTCCAATGTGCTAGAGAAAAAAACATGCAGGCATATCTCATTTGATTGTGCTACACAGACACTGCAGGGTTTTTTGTTTGTTTTTTTAAGCAAATGAAAGGTTTTTGGCAACCCTGGGTCGAGCATGTGTATCAGCACCATTTTTTCCAACAGCTAGGGTGATCCTTAGCATTTCTGAGCAATAAATTATTTTCAAATGAAGACTGTGCATTGTTTTCTTACACATAATGCTATTGCACACTTAACAGATTAGAGTATGGTCTGAGTGTAACCTGTATATACACTGGGAAGCCAAAAAATCTGTGTGACTTGCATTAGTGCAGTATTTGCTTTATTGCAGCAGTCTGGAATTGAACCTGCAATATCTCTGCCTATACTATGAACCTAAATGTTAATAAATCTTTTGGTTTTATTTTGTTTTGGATCCACTACATGCAAAGTAAATGGGAATAGTGCATCTCAGTCACGGTTTTTCCTGCAACCCTGATTCTCAGCCCTGACAGATGTGGCCTCTCGGTGACCAGGAGTTGCACAGGACAACAGACCTGGCCAGTGGCTCAGGGCTGCAGGACGATGGCAGCAAGTTGACTTCTCTTCATCTGATTCCATTTGAGGGTCTTTAAGGCTCCAAGCTGCATGAAGAATAATGTGCATTAAAATGCTTAAGATGAGCTTTTAACAACCCCAGCAAGCTCCCAGGGTTTTACCATCTTATGTTTTATAACAAAGCAGGAAACAGCAGGCTGGCTGTTGCCAATACTGAATCACCTGATTCATAAAGATATTCAAAAACTGAGGACTTCATTATAAAGGAGTTGGTGCTTCTACTGAATTCAATAATTGAGTATTACTGCAGGAGCCTGAATATCCAGCTTACTGCCATCCAAATCTCCTCTTTATCCTGACCTTGATTTGGGTGAAAACCAAGCAGATGCCAGGGGATGGAGTAAATGTGGGGAACGGAGGTCAGATAAATCCAGTGGTTTAGATAAGGAAAATTCTCTGTATGATAGAAATCTAGGGACAGATTTCTGCAATATCCTTTTAACATACTTAAGTCACTGATCACTATTCTATCGCCATTCCGCTCTGCTCTCCCTCTAATCTGTTCTCTGGTGGTGGAGAGAGATTTGGACTGGTCCCCTGCCTTCTCTGGCCTGGCCCCCGTTGTCACTAATGAATTCACTTGGGGTCTCTGTCCAGCTCAGAGTAAGCCAGTTCCTCCTACGCTAACTGCAAAGTTTTTGAGCTCCTCTACCCCAAATTCTATAGTCTTCTTTTAGATGGTCCCTCAATAGATATTGTCTAAGTGATGAAGATTTCAAGATTTAGAAAGTCTCTATTGAGAATCACACAAAAGATCTGAGGAGAAAAAACTTTTAAATCCTATATGACCTCCAAGATGGAATCGATGTACTTCTCTAGCTCCTACCTCCTCTGATTCTATCGGAAGAGACTAAAAAGGCCAATGGCTCTAGTGGCTGGGGCTGAGAAGGCAGTAAACTGGATTTTGTTTTTCCCCTCCAGCTGCAGGCATCCCTGGCTGATTGGCTTCTCAGCTTAAAAATACATACATGTGAAATTACTTTAAAATGTATATTAACTACAGCTATTTCAGAGAAGTAATGAGTAGTCAAAGTGTTTGTGGGTGAGGCTGCAAACCACCCCTTCGAGTGGCAAGTCCAGAGGAAGGAGGGTGGGAGTGGGGTGCACAGGGAAAATGGGGTGCTCCTCAGATCCAGTCATAGAAATGCAGTGCCTTGGGAATAGTCACTAAGGTCCCCTTAGCATTAACTGAGTGGGTTTTAATCGCCTTCCAATGGTCCTCAGATTGCTTGATGCCGGGATTGCAATTTATCATCTCCTGCGCACAATCATGGACATCTTTCCAAATGAGACCCTCCAACTCTATGGGGTGGGAGGGGCAGAAATCACCTTCCAATTCTAGAGATGAGGGGACTTAAGGTTATCACATGGCTGTTTAGTCCGTGCCCAGACCAGGTTCTGGAGCCAGCCCAAGTACCACAGAGACACACAGCAACAGCCCCGATTTCATTTCCCATCTTCCAGCTTGCCTCTTCCGGTCTCCCAGTGCTAAAACTCAGAGCCATCCTTCCCCATGGAATCTCTCCAAGGCAAAGGCCCAGGATAGAAAAAGCAATTGGCCTAACCATATGTGAAGGACACATGGGTTCCTATTAGTGGAAACAATGCAACACTGGCATCACAAAGGTCTCATTTCAATATTGTGCTAGCAGAAGCCCATGACCTTCAGCCGTAGAAGACAAACGCACTTTGTGACAAAAGAAGCAGACTAACAGGTTAAGAGGGCCTCGCCTGCCAGAAAGTCGGTCTCTGAGCAGCATTTGAGAACACTGATCCAGCTGATCGTTGAGTCCAGCGCTGAGCCAGCAAATCCCGAGAGAAGAGCGATACCGTGCTGAACAGCACACCTGGCGTCTGCCAGAGACTCGCGGTCCTCAACCATCCTCGGGCCTCACAACCTCACCTGCATTATTTCCAGCTCCCAAGAGGCCACCTCGAGCCAGCAGACACACAGCCCTGAGGTGGCTCTTGGCATCTGTCATGTGTCTGCCCACACCCACGAGCTTTAATCACTGTGAGAGCCGGCTGGATTAGTAAACTCAGACCCTGGGAAGTTCTGGCAAGATCCACACTTGCATTCAGCAGTCTGGACTTTCTGTGAGCCTAAGGGCAAGCAAACTGAGAAAGTGCTCCCCCCCTCACAAGAACCCAGCTGCCAAGCATGAACAGATACACCTGAAAGAACAGGGGGCCTCCCCACGGATGATCCTTGAAGTCATACTCTGAAAGAAGGAGAACAGAGAGACAAACACTAACTGATTCCACTCCTACAAGGTCCCTGGAGTAGTCAGTCATAGAGGCAGAAAGCAGAAGGTGACTGCCACGGGCTGGGGGCAGGGCGGAGTGGGGCATGGCTCTTTAGTGGCTGCAGAGTTTCGGTTTTACCACATGAAGAGTTCTAGAGATGGGCTGCACAGCAAGGCGAACCCACTCAACATTACCAAATGGTGCACTTAAAAATGGTCACCATGGTAAATGTTACCTGCATTTTCAAATTTTAAAACTTTAATGCATAAAAAGGAGGGAGGTAGAGAAGGAGAGAAAGTGGCGGGGGTGGGGGAGGCACACTAACGGGCAGAAAGCCCACACCCCCGGGCAAAGGACACAGAAGCAGGGCGAGTAGCTCCCCTCATTTAGTCCTCATGGAGGTCGGGGCTTGCCCACTACTCTTTAGGCAACTGAGCACTGACTCCAGCCACAACCCCAACACTGGAAACCGAGCATGGAGGCGACCATTCCCTTTGGATGTGCAGCATCTCCCATCACACTGGTTTCCCAGGAATCCAAGAGTCAAGGCAACTGTGATGAGGACAGAATTCTACTGTTCTCACTCTGTGAATTAATCATGAGGAAATAACAGAAAAACAAAAGACCCACACCATGCCCTAACAATGACCTCCTTGGGTGAAGGGTGGCCATCCTTGAAACCTGGCAGCATCTGCGTAGCCAGGACAGAAACATGAGGAGGTCTCAGGAATTACAAAATATCCCACACCTTCTGACAAACTTCACTGGGAGCTCAGGTGAAAGTCTGGAGTTCTCAGGACAATCTCAGCACTTTTATAACCTCCCCAGTAAGAAGACAAAAGCATCTGGGCATGGAACAGCATCTCAGCAGCTAACTGGACCAATCACGGGCGTGGTACTGAGAACACAGGGT